GCTAAATATCGCAAAATGTTCCATACTCCTTTGGAACTGAAAGTATATGGCTTACTTACCGGAAAGAAAGAGGATTGGTATATCAATCCCCACTTAAATTGAATGTTTTTTTATCATCAATTTGAGGAGAATTCTGATAATGCCATTGACTATCGAAAAGAAAAATAACTATGACCGACATCCAAACCTTACAAAAATACGAAAACTGAAAATCAGCCAAAAAGAAAAGAAAACTGTGAATTAATATAATTTCCTGATTATCAGGATTATTATTAGCCTATATAACCGTTTGTTTAGTAAGTAAAGCCGGTATTGGTAATGTGCTGAAAACTATGAAATACTCTGCTGCCAAAGTTGAAACCAAAGAAGAAAAAGAACAATTACCTGCTGATTATTTAACCTGATACAAAGAAAAAAAAATGGAAGAAAGTTGAGCCAACAAGAAATTTGGCCATGAACCTTTTCCTTACTTCACTTATGAAGAAATAGCCAAAAGAAAAGCCAAAGAAAAAGGTGAAGATTGATTTGGTGAATTAGGAGGCAAGTTAGCCGAATGACTGGCTAGTCAAGGGATTCCTGAAGACCAAAAAAATAAAGTTAATCAAGAAGCTTATGCTAATGATGTTTATAGCAATGCTTGAACCGTTATTTTTTGAGGATTTCCCCTTTTCTGAGTAATATTTGGATTAATACTTCGTTATATAGTTCTTCCTCTTTCTTGAAAAGAGCCTAAGTTAACTGAGTCAGAAAAATTAACGCAAGAAATCTAAACTTTGGACTTTACTTTCAATTAAGTTCCGTAATTCCCCTTTGGTAACGAATCCATTCCCTACTACTTTCCGGAAAATTTGAATGGCTTTTCGGTAGGTAGAATTGGTCTTATTAACTTCGACTAAATCGCCAAAATCAAGGTTAAATTCCATGCTGGGACTGTCATCTAAAAAAGTTCGTAAATGTCCATAACCTTTTGTGGGATTACGGGTTCCTTTATTTCCTTCATTTTCGGTGAAAACATAATCCATAACCGCATCGTATAATTCTTTTCGGAGTTTATCCAATGCTACTCTTTTATCTCGCTCGTCTCTCAGTAATCTTTCTTGCTGGTCAGCCGCTTCCTTAGCTCGTTGAGCCTGTTCGTTTTGAATCCGAACTTCTTCCCTAAGTTTTTGTAGTTTAAGTTCATTTTCTTGTCTTTCTTTAATTGCGGCTGCTTCTTTTTCTTTCAACTCATCATCATTTTTTCTTTTTAAGGCATCCATTTCTTTTTTGATTTCATTTTGCCTCTTTCTAAACTTTTCTTCAATTCGCTGTCTTCCTTCCCGGTCGGCAATATTAATTGCCTCCAATTCCTTGGCTAATTCTTGTTCCATTAGTTCTTTTTTTTGAGCCAATTCTTTTTCTTCTTGCTCATTCTTTTTTCTTAATGCTTCGATTTCCTGCTCTTTTTTCTCCTTTTCCGCTCTCATTTGCTCTTCTTTGAACTTTAATTCTTCCTCGGCTCGTTTCTTTTCTGCTTCTAATCGCTTAGCCTCATTATCCAAAAGTGTTTTTCTATCCTCAGAGATATTTTTATCTCGTTCTTCTTGTCTTTTGCGAGCAGCTTCAGCTTCTTGCTCAGCTAGCTCTTTTTCTTTCTGTCTTTTCTCGGCTTCTTCCGCTAATTTCTTATCTTTTTCGGATAAATTACTTTGCCGACGAGCAAACTCAGCCTCATCCAATTTCTTTTTGGCTTCTTCGCGAGCCTTTTTCTTTTTCAGCCTTTCCGCTTCTTCGGCGCTGAGATTAGCAAATAAGTTATCTCAGCGGGAATCAGAAGAAATGGGGGTTGGCTGTTCTTCGGATGAAGTTTTTTCTGGACTACTGTCTAACCCTCCACCTTTTTCTAATAAATTCCTCATACTCTCGTAAGCATCGGCTAATCTTTCATATTTTTCTTCTAAGGAAGTAATATTAGGAGCCGTGGAAGTAGTTTTTGAACCTTTTTCTGCCGAAAGAGCCGATAAATATTTCTGTTTTCTTTTTCATTCCTTCAATTCCCTTTCGGATACTAATTGCAAATATTTTTCTCATTCTGGTTTTAGATAAGAATATTGGTTTAAAAAGTCAGCAAAAGTAGAAGTAGTTAAAGAAGCATGTTCAACCTTGTTAATTTCTTTACTAGTTATCTTTTCCCAGGCACTAACTAAGTTATTAAGTTTAAGGTTATTGCTTGGAAACTTATTTAAAAAGTCTTGTAATTCGCTAAATTGTTCTTCTTTGAGTAGACTTTCGTTAGACAATATTCTGATAACTCCTCTTACTTCTTCTTTTTCTACTCCCTGACTTTTATCTTTTCAAGCATCCAAAATAGTTAGGATTTGGGTTTGATATTCTTCAATAGTTTGCTCTCTTTTGGCGGTAAATTGTTGGTATTTTTCTCTTAACTCTTCCGCATTTTCATAATTTAATAATTGTTCAGCATCCAGTTTTTCGGTATTTTTCAGCCAAGCAACATAATCTGCTTCATTAGATTTTAAGCCAACATCTATTCATTCCTTAGTTGCTTCGTAAGAAAATCCAGAACTAATCCATTCTTTAACTAATTCTTCGGTGAAATCTAGGCCAATATTCTTTCACTTGTCCCAATCAAGAGGAATAGTTTGATGACTTTTTCCGCGATTAATATTTTCCACCGTAAAAAATAATAAATCAAAAAAGTAATAATACGGAGTTAATTTAAATCCCGAAAGAAATAATAAATCCCGGTGTTGGCTATCGATTGCCCCAATTGATACTCAATCTTTTTCTTCTTGAAAAACTTCTTTGGATAAACGATATTCTTGACTAGCTAAATCAGTTAAGTTCGTTTGTGCATAAAAGAGTAAAGAAGGTAATAAGGAATTCCGTATGGCTTGTTTTTCTTTCTGGCTAGTTTCTTTTTCTTGGTACTTAATTTCTTCCCGAACTAGTTTATACTTTTTCCCCAAAACTTCTTTCTTTAACTCTTTATAATGCCGCTAGTTGACAAATAACTCCCAAACATAAGAAATCTTTACTAAAATTGGCTGAGGACTTAATTACTATTGAGCAAAAAGAAGACTTGGTTAATGCTGGTCGGGATAATTTAGAAAA